TCTAACGGATTCTTAGCTGACACCTCATTTAGAACCGGTAGGATAATTACCCGTAGTCAATTGTATTCGCAATGTAGACTACAACTCTTAGGCCACCTAATGCGACATCCGGAGTCTTTGGAGTATCAGGCTACCTTTATGAATTCTGGCGCGTACCGCTTTACGAGAGGCCCCAATCGCACTGGAAGACCAAAAGTACATTGGGCTGAATCTAGCTTAACAGAAGCTACAGCCAGATTGGAACATCTTCAATCTGATGCGGCCCCGGCCCATGGGGATATCAATCATTCATTTTATCAGATTCCCTCCCTTGACCAAGTTCGCATTTCCCATGGATCCCAGGGAATAGTATGGATGGATAACACTCTAATGCATCGCAAAGTACGACGTGCAGCTCAAGATAGAAGGCAATGGGCTAAGCTTATTAATAAACCTCAAAAGCCACGTTCAAGAAGGCGTTGAAAGCGGTCGGTGCTGATGGGCTAAGACAGTTGGCCCTACGCTTTCAAAAAAAATAACTTTATCAAAAGTTTTAACTTCTTGGCTCTGGGCCATTGGGGAACTAAGCACAGAACGCTTAAAACTTTACAAGCCCAATTAGAATGCAGAAGCTACAACCCCTACAGCCTTGGCCGAAAAATCCCGAAGTGAATAACCTCATAGCACAAAGCCTAAACCCTAGGAACCCCAGGATGCAGAAGCCCCAATCTGTTAACTAGATCCCCAATTTCCCTGAACATTTCCAAAGCCTATGACCCATGAACCCCAAGCGCCTCTTAAACGCCAAGTCCGAGATTCCAAATACACCACAGTCTTAGCACTGTTGACGCTAAAAGCCCAAATCCCCGTAACTCAGCATGAATCTTTACTACGGTCTCAGCCATGGTCGGTCTTAATTATGGGCCCCGTACACTAGGGGTCTACGGTATAGAACAGGTATGTAAGGACCCTGGGCTAAGGGCCCATACCAGACGCCCACAGCTCAAACATTAGGTTCATGCTCTGAATCTTCAAGCCTGAAACTTACCATTAACCAGAAAGAAGTAGAGCCCAGACACCCAAGACATTTCAGCCCTTTTCCATCTCCTGATCAAAGCAGGTTCTCCAACTAAAGCCAGCGGCTTGGTCTCGCCGCGAACTCCCACGCCCTTGACAGCAAGCCTTGAACAAAACGTTAAGACATCTGTATATCCCAAACCCCTGTGAGCACACAACCACACGAACGAGCAAACACAAAAATGAGTCATGGAACTCCTCAACCCTATATAGACCTGGGGTGAAAACCCCAATCGATCACGATCAGTCATGATGAGCCGATTCACGTGTGGACCTTTGCCCTGCGCCTCCACCCGCCGCCCGGCCCCCGCGGCCCCGCCTCATTTTAGGGGGCCAGCCGCCTATCTTTGTCAATTTAGGGGTGAGGCAAGGAAACTGGGCTTGCATATGCTTGCATGTTTACTTTCCGTGCACTAAGCGCATTTTCATTTTTCATGAACCATCATGATATGTCATCATATTTCAGTATTTTCATCACATTTCATGATGGTTCATCATGTTCCATCATATTCAAGCACGTTTCATCACATGTCATGATGAACATCGTCCTGAATCATGCTTCATTTGTTGACAGTATGTTCCATCACATTCTGGCAGGTCTTAATGAAATTTCATCACCTCATAATTTTTTCAGCATTTCCATCAAGTTTTGTTATTTTGCAGCGTTTTTGAAGATTTTCATCATTTTCCGTTTTTCGACGTTCAATAGACTCAATATGATCTCGCGGGGTTGAAAGGTTGACGTAGGTTTCATGATGGGTGAAAGGATCAGAACGGAATAGTTTACTAGTTCTCCCATCCCTTTACTTGGAAAGCCCTCTGTTTCTAACCGCGACTCGAAGCGGTTTGGCCAGCGGCTGCAGAGGGGGCCTCAGCCACGGCCAGGCCAAAAAAACACGTCCGGGGAGCTGCAGGCGTTTTTTCTCAGCCACGGCTGCAGGGATTCAATAGAGTCAAATTCAAGAGAAATTTGAGCGGATCATAGGAAATTCGATACTATCCATCATATTTCTGGATAGCCATTGGTAAGATTTCTACACAACCACGGCTATGCAAAAAAACACGTTCGGGGCGGATCCTACGCTTACAACTTGCTGAGCACGTTGGGGCGACCAAGGAGCTGAAACAACTTTTGTAAAGGTTTCCTGAAGCGAAGGGTTCCCAGAATGCCGGAGCATATTTGCGCTTGCCACTAGGCCCTCGCCATATGCTGGGCCTGACGATACAAGTGGGCGCCAGGCATTGAACCACCCGACCCTTGGGCAATCATAACCTGTTGGTCTTGGGGGCCAGGAAGCGGAGGTGCAGGAGTGCCCGTGACCGCGCTCACTACAGAATCCCTCCAAAGAAGTCTTGAAAGAATCCTGGAACTACCAAAGGTTAAGAGCCTTAAAATCCCTCATTCACGGCAACCCCACCCTGAAGGAGAAACAGCTCGCCTAAGGGGGTTCTGGTCTCGGGATAACATAGCCTAAGCTAGAGAACCTGGGGCACCCCTAAACACCCTGTCAAACAAACCACCCGAAACCCCAGGCCGGAGCAGGAAGTCCTTTCATCTTGAGCCATGCGCAACGATTTGTGCATGTCTTCCTGGCGCAGGGCCCATGCGAAGTTGTGATTATATACGTCTCCTCTGCAGATTCTGCTCAGGCCTACATACAGCACCACCACAACTGAAGCGCAGATACGTTCATTGGGAAGCTCCAAAGACTGTACACGATAAATCCCAGGTTACTTCAAAGGCGTGGGATGACATGCTTCACATCATCAACAATTTCATATCAAAATGTGAGGACGCTCCAGGCCAGAGCAATCTTGAGCAACAGTGCGAGGACGGTCGACAAATGCGAGGATGCTCCAGGCGAGAGCTCGATGTCGCGTCAGCATGATGTGGGAATGCAGCACGGAGATGAGGGTTGGAGATCGAAAAGTCAAGTCAGGACCCAAAAATCGAACCCGGTGATCAAGTAATCGAATTAAGGATCAACCACTCGAAGTACCGGAAGGTCAGGTCGCCCTGTGCGATGTGCGAGAGCTCGATTTTCCCAAGCACGTACAACGCCAGCGGCGGGAGTGGTTCCAGAACGTGCAAAAGCTCTACGCGAGAGCTCGATTCTCAACCAAAAATTAAGTGCATGCATGTTCCATGCGAGACATCGCTCGGCAAACCATCAAGGAAGGTGGCAGTTGTTGATGAGGATTTGCTATTAGACTCGATACGGGTTCAGGCTGAAAAAGAGCAGGTTTTGGGCGTGCGCAGCCAGCCCCATTTGCAAACCCTTTAATGTGGTGGTTGTTGCTGAGGACTCCCTAATACAAAAATCAGCCCCCCGCATTTGCAACCCACGGCCCGAGGCCGCACGGCCTACGGCTCGGGCTTGTGCCTCCTCGCAAATTTGCTGATACCCGAATCAGCGATCCCAAAACTGCTAAACTTGTTGCTGCTTTAAAGGTCAACCTCAAAGCGCACACTCTACAGCTGAAATTGCACGCCCAGGCCCTTTTTTTTTCCTGGAGGCTTTTGAAAAACCAAACCACACAACCAGAGCCGGCTCTCAATTGCCCTAAATCCAAGATTGAGGCCCCGGGTGCTCCAGTTTCAACGTTCACCATCATAATTTATCTCCAAATTATCTCGAAGCCAAGAAAGCCAAGGCATTGTGTGCTGCATCCAAGATGGCTAGGATTGAATCAGGGCGGATGAAACAACTCAGTTCTATGTAGTGCTCCTCTCAAACCGTGGCATTTTGAGATTCTGGCCTTAAAGCATCTCGTTCTATGGCTTCTGCACCAGCACTTCTGACCTTGCTACACATTAGCAACATTGATCCTTGCACGCAGTTAGATGAATGTTATGACTATGTTTGCCGTGTTTCTCCGCCTCCCACATGCTTCTTTTGCGCGTAAGGCGCAGCTCATGGCGAGGAAAGCATCCGGCTATTGAAAGCGCGGCAGGTTTAGCTCTACAAGTAGATGTGTTCCAATGTGTCAGTGGCGTGTTAAACACGCTTGCGCAGGAGAGCGCGTCCTGGTAAGGACAGCACTAGTGCTGTTGAAACCAGTGGCATTCTAGCTCCAGCGTGTTTGGAGCCTCGCCGCCCCTTCGTACATCTGACAGGCACAGCCCGTCAGATTCCCAAAGAGTGTGTCTTGCTTTGTACAGTTTTCTGAGCTGACATGCTTGCAGACGCCAGTTAACAGCTTAAAATGACACCAGCGCAGGATGCTTCTTGCAGGCTTGGTTACCTTGCGTTTACGTCATTCGACTGCCTGTTCCCCTGGTTCTTGTTGCCGGATATCAGCGGCATGCATTTTCAGAGTATTCGCAATCATGGTAGTGCTCTCAAAAATACCGCCGGTAGCCATTCTGAATCATTCCGGTTCTTTGAGCTTGATGTAGTTCGGAGGCCAGAATATTTGCGGACTTCAAATCCGTGCCTGCATGCAAAGTACATAAAGCACAGACTTGTGCATGACAGACTCCGATAGCCCAGGTTAAAGGCAGACGGTTCACGGGGATGTGTCACCAACATTAGTTCACCGGCCATGCTGTGTGCGCATGGATCTGCATCACTGCGGGTGCTTTCTTGGCGCCGACTGTTGGATGGCATGGTAAGGCCACCTGGCGCAGCCGACCCGTTGCTTACAAGAGATGACTGCTTGTGGTGAAGAGGCATGTGCTTTGCGGCGGCACGGCAGGCCTGGTGCTCGGTGTGCAGGGAGAGTCTTGAAGTGAGTTCTGACATCCTGCCGGAGTCCTGCCGCAGCCAGAGAAGCTTACATACTCAAACTGGTTGCCCCAACAAGGCTCAAGCTGCGGAACAGATTTTCACCTGCTTTAGCATCTTTTAGCGTCAGCTTTTCGTTGAACACTTTCTGGTGCATGGTGCAACCTCCGACCCACAAGAATCTAGCAGCTAGCATGCTCTAGGCTTTGATTGGCGATGGCACATGATGCATCGCAAGATGGTGAGGAGCTTCAGCGTCGGACGGTGGACGGATACCTGGTGCGACCTCGTCCAGTATCACCTTTGGCACGACAGATTGGCAAGACAGCCGTGTCAGTCATTGGCGGAGATCTTCCCGTGACGGTTCAGGAACTAGCCAAGAGGGCTTACTTGTATACGCTCGATCCGTTGCGGAATCCCGTGAAGGAAGTTTTCCACGCTTCAACCTCAGTTCTTGCGATGCCGCAGTCGGACTTGATCTAGTCGCATTTTGTTAGAATGGTTTGCACCTCATAAGAGTCATAAGTCTGAAAGGAGTCAATCTTTACAGATGCTTTTGTTCTTCGTTTGTTAAGCTCCTTTCAACAAACGCCAAGCCAATGCTACTTGCGCGAATGCAGCCAGCCAAGTCGAACTCTTCACCATCATCCGTTAATGCTGGTGTGGTCCAGCACAAAAACCAAAGAAAATCACATCAGCAGGAGCATGTTGTATAGTAGCCACCAAGGCCAATGCTTGGAATATTCAATGACATTCCGAGTCATAAGATGCGCGAAGACGAGGTAGAAGCATGGGCCCGTGCTGGATTTTCCTTCATCGTGTCCGATGCTGAGCATCGGCAAATCTCAGGTTGGCAGGGCCGGGAGGAGAACGCTATGATCGGGAGGGCAGGCATGCTCCCCGTGCAGCGACTTCACCGCGAGGCGATCTCACAGCATGGAGATGCACTGCAGCTGGGGGCCCGTGCCACCATGCGCCCTTATGCTACGACTATTGCTGAGGCAGAGCAGTACTTCGAAGCGATAACTTTCCCCCGTGGTCAGCCAGGTAGTGCATCCAAGGACTCGAGGGGTGGGTACCCGACGAGACTTGGAGACCGCACACTATGCTTTACCCCGGACAGTCTCCGAGCATCGGAAAGCGAAACGCAGGGATGGCTGCAGTTCGAGACGAGCGAATACATATTGGATGCATCTCGTTATGTCGAGGTTGGCATAAGCTTTGGTGTGCCCATGTAAGATCTTGCACTACTCTGGATGTGTAGCTTCGCAGACCAAAAAGAGGTTCCCCACTTTCTTCAAGATTTAGCAGGTGCGTTCTCTGCATCGAGCGTAACTCGGGCTGTTCCTTCATCGTTGGGATCCGTTTCTGCCAGCCAGGGTTGGTTTCCCTGTCATGACATGATGATGCTGCCAACCAAAAGCTGTCCAAGGCACGGATCCGTGACAGTGTCCTGGATGTGATGACGCAGCAGGGCCCAGGAGTTTCTCCTTCATGATTTTCATACAATGTAAGGGCCTTCGGAGGGAGACTGGGGTACCTTGTACAGTAGGCACAGCAACCGGGTCATGCAGGGTCCTCGCATAGTAAGACACTGGCCGGGGTCCTCACAGGAAAGGCCATCGGCTTCGTCGGGCCCTTTGATGCAATCATGCGAGATGGCCTTCGTCCAGAGATGTCCGCTGGGATGAACCTCGGATGCATCAGAGCCGGTGTCCTGGCGCGATGGTTGTCGTGGCCAGGGCCTTCTAGACGAGTAAGCCATGCGGCAACTGCGCCTGGTTTCAGAAAGTGCAAGAAGTCATATTCACACACAGTGACACTATGACTATGATTGCTGGGCTGAGTTACAAAAGAACTGCGAAGAGGTAGCTCGACACTTCGACTCAACGGTTGGAACATGCTAATACATGAGATGTGAAAGCAGGCGCTTGAGCCCTTCAGCGGTGTGAGGTCTTTCATTCTGCCTGAAAATCGTCTGAGGAACCAGCTCTTCCAAGAGGCCACCAAGCGAGGTCTCGTAATGGGACGAGTGTGTGGTTCAGGAACCATCTCAGATCCAAAGGATATTGAGGACAGCAGGCAGTAGCATGGCTTGCAGGGGTGTGGTCATGACTGGTGCGTGAACACCTTGAACGAGTCTTTCACTTTTGTCGTGCCGCAGAGACAGTCATTGCAACGTCAATGAACCTTGACTGACTTGCAAGGACGCCATGGTGGAGGCTATTCAGCAGGGGAGTCGGCTGCGTGGCGTGTGCTATCATGATTTTTTCTTTTTCAATGGGTGCCTTCACTTGAATTTGGACATGGCGGGGTTGTTGGCAGTCAGGCTGATCTCTGTCCACCGCTTCACCTCTGACCTTCCTTTCTTTGGGGCACGGGCTGTAGCTGACCCATTCTGGCGAGCATGTGCTCGTTGTGGTTTCTGAAAAAAGGATGCGCTTCCCCTTTGTCAACTTAGCATAGCCATGCGGATTCGCCTGGAGTTGCTTTTGCTACATGTGTCCGCTAGGGCGTGAACCGGAGTCTTTATGTACTTTATGTGCTCCGCATCCTGCATTTCGTAACAAGACCCGATTTGATTCTGATGTGGTTGTGGGCGAGGCTCGTCCTACCCTGGTTTATCTCGGGAAGTCATTGGAGGGAAGGCCAGTTTGTGTCCTGCTGTCCTCAGATTGCAGATAGTGCTTCCATCTTCTTCTGACTTGTCAGGATGGGACTCAACAGAGCTACTTAGTGCCTGCCCTACACAGGACTGTTTCAACCCGAGCTGGATTCTGCTGGCGCTGAGTGCAAGTGTGAGCTGATGCGTCTTTGAGGTGCTTGTCACTGACAAGTGGACCTTACCATTGTTGGAAAGAGCCCCGGACTCAGCTTGCTCTGCTTAGAAATGTGTTCGAGATCACGTCATTGCAGGTCTGTCATATCGATGACCTTCTCAAGGAGAGGATTGCTTTGGTCGAATCCCTGGATGCCCCACGAGAGGACCGTGTGATCGGGGTGGGACTGCAGTCGCTCAGTCATAGGTTAGCGCGAAATAGACCTTTGAATGACCTTTGGCTTTTAAGCTGTGGGGATTGATGCGGCCATAGCCATGTCAAATCTCTTCATGTTTGCCTTTTCATGGCCTACTGCTCAGGCAGGTTAGATTAATCTGTCCAATTCCAACTGGACAAGTCTCCATTGGTAGGCGCTGCTAAGCGCTAAGTTATGCATGTTCTTGGGTAAAGCAATGTTTGACAGCAGTTGGATAGCTCAAGGCATAGCGAGTCTTGTTGAACAGCAGGCGCTGCCTTTGGATGCCGTGTACTTCTTGGCTCCAACCCTGGAGAACATGGACCGCCTGGTGGAGGAGGGCAGAGCACACGAGACAGTTGTCATTGTTGCCAGCGTGAAAGCTGCACACAGGGTTTTCCTGAGTCAGTGAGAATTGCATTCTTTTGTTTGAAATTCTGAGGCTTTCGAGCCTTTTTTTTTCCTGCTGGGCAGCTTTCGCTGAGATGGAATAGAGCTGGGCTCATCCAGCCAGAGATCCCCAAGTTTGAAATCCTCATTAATTCTCTAAAACTTCAGTACACTCACGTGCCCCTGCCCACTCGGTGTTTCATGCAACTGCCCCTTTGAACGCAACAGACTTACGAACAAGCAGCGGCTGCCCATCACTTGTTCCATTAGGGGCGTCTGGACCAAAGAGCTCCCTGCCCCTTCTGCCCTTGCCTCGGCAAAAGGAGGCATTTGGCATTTGCTTTCTGCCAGCCTTGGTGCAGGCTTTACTTGTCCTTTGATCTTTTTTGCTGTGCAATGTTAGATTACCCTGCTTGAACTCTTTGAAGCAGTGGGGCAGTGGGGCAATGACGTTTCGGAGCGCTGCTGAGGCAAATAGTGATATAACCACAGGTGGGCTGGCACTCGCAGACTCACTTAAAGTGAAGATGCCACAGCAACGGACGACGAGTTTTGAGTCAGTTCGCTGTACTCCACACTGATTTTTAGCTCGTGTTTTTGCGTGTGTCGGCATGGTGACTGTTTGTGTTGGTGAGCTATTTATTCATGGTGCATCACGGGAGTGACATGAAAATGGTTACATGGGGCTTGTGTGTGCAGGAGCTCTCTGCCAAGTCAGCGAGGTACCGAAGTTCTCATATCTTTTTTTCCCACCGCCTCGAGGCCTGCGAGCTAAAATGTTATGTTCTATGGAGCTCACGGGTGACGCTGAGCCTCTTCGGAGCTTTATCTGTCATGGCTGTTCTAAACTGGCTTGAGTTCCACAAAGCTGTTCGTTCATGATGTCTTGTAACGACGCAAGTCTTTTTTGAACAGCCTTCGCCAGGATTTGATGTTACAAAGATTGGCACAATCCCTTGAGGCCAAGAGCAGATTTCGATATATGAATGCAGCAGTTGAAGCCAACGTCGGAATAGCGGTTTCCAAAGTTGTGCATTCAATCCGTGCTGCTACACAAGTAGCAAGGCGTGTCTTGTGTGACACTGGGAGGCTGTTGTCAAGATCTCGAGCTTTGCGGAGCTCAATCTCAGCTTACTGGCCTACGATGACCGCTCCTTTCACATGCAGGCAAGGCAAGGGCCCCCAACGCTTCAATGTTTGGGTCCGGTTCGTGTAGATGCGGGCGGTGCTGTGTAAAGTTCACGCAGTAAGACTGCAGCATTCTGTCATTTCAAGCAAAGCTGTAACCAGGTCTACGCACCACTATGTGTGTGTGTGTGTGTGTTATGTGAGTTGCACGTGACCTTTCACTGCCAGCAGCTTGGCACAGGATCATGGAGACAGTTTGAAGGGGCTATTGGGTGTCGCCCCGCAAGCAGTGCGCTCAGAACAAGCCTTCGAATCCATTCCTCCAATACGTTCTTGGTGGGTTTCTTTCCACGTGTTGCTTCTGGGCTCCCGGAGCTTAATCAGCTTGAGATCTTACTGCTATGTGTGTTCCCGCATGACAACAAGGAAACTTTCGACTTGAAGCAAGCCGGCTGCTGCGCAGCCCTGAGTACCTCATTGATTCCAAATTTGGACGCTTGCTTGATATGCCGGCACTTGGTCTTATGAGGAACACGATTTTTGCATTGGCATGGGAGTGAGGAAGGCAGCAACTGATCACAGCTTCTGACAGACAACATGGGAGTCTTACTGCAAGATGCTCAAAGCCTGTACCTTACATGCCATGCCTTTGCCTGAAACTCTACTTGAGAGACATGATGCCCTAGACATATGTCTCCCAGATATATCCGAAACAGCAACAGGCAGTTGACCCAAACCAGGCGGACCGAAGCACTTTTTTTGTAAGCCGTGAAATTCTCAGAAGCTATGCGTGTCCAGAAGTAAGCTTCTTCGCATGTCTTTCAAATTTGTTTCGGTTGTTTCTGAAGTTCACAGTGTCACTAGCTCGCTCGTGTGAGGCCTGGCCACGCTGTTTGCAACGCTTGGGCAGGAGCTTCCAGGTAATTTCAAGGCTGCACCACGTCAGCTCCTGTCCAGTTTGTGGTTCGTAATGTAATCTTGAAAAAGGCTGCTGCCTATTTAATGATCCCCCTATGTTTTCATATTTGTATCAGGCAAGCAGGTAATTGGACATGGGTTGGGTATTCAAAATGATTGTTGTTGCTGATGACACCTGTCAGGCCCGGTTCAGCAATGTGTGAAGCCCATCCGCAGCTGCCCCGTATTTGTACAACCATAGCCAGAAATACTTCCTTTGTCCGTCTATGCGACTTTCTATACAAAGAAGGGTATTCTGTTTTTTTTGTTTTTTTGTTTTTGTCCTCGGGTCCCCTGGTCCTCTGTTCCTGTGGTCCTCCGGTCCCGTGGTCCAGAGGTTCCTGGTCCCTTTCAAATTACTTGCAGTGCCCGAGAATCTCCCAAGCCGGCACATGCTGTAGTTTGCAGCAGTTGAAGCGTTCCAAGACAAGCAAATGCTGTTATTTACAGCATTTGAAGCGTTCCAAAACCAGCAAATGCAGCATTTCTCGCGTTCCAAAATGGAATTGTCAGCGTTCCAAGACCAGTCGACTTGCACTAGACATCCATGCTTGCCATCGTCAGGCTTGAGGCATGATTTTTCATAATTTCCATCACTTTCATCATTTTCATGAATTTTCATCATCTTTTATGGTTGATTCATCACTTGTCAGCATTTTACATCATTTTCATGGTTTTCATGATGTTTGATGGTGTTCATCATTTTCATAATTGATTCATCAGTTTTCATGAATTTACATTAGGTTTT